CAACACATTAAATCCTTAAAATTTCTTAAAATTTGACTAAAATTATTGGAGTAAAGATGGTAGTTAAGAGACACTTATGATTTATGTTTTAATTGATTTTGCTAAGAAATTATATGTTAATGTTTTTAAAAGCGTTATGCTGTTGTTGGTATTAAATTGTTGCCTTCTTAACTGCTCTGAGTCACCTGCCAGCTGAGAAGGGCAGTATAGAAATATAGTAAATAAATAAATAAATACATACATAAGTAAACAGCAGATAAACTCTACAATTCTATAGATATCTCTGAGTCTAATGTCACCTACATTGTCATATCTAATTTTGCTTTGAACTTACAATCAACACTCATCTCCAGTGTATAGGTCTGAACCTTCTTCTATCACTTTAAGACAGAAGTTAACCAATTGGCACTACTAAGAAGTAATCAAAATTTGTCCTTCCTGTTGTTGTCTTGTTTTCAAACTTCTATAGTCAAATTCCTAGCACTTTTCAAAAGGAGAGCTGTTAAGTTTTTGCATGTAAACAGTAAAGAGGCAGGTAGCACCTTACAATGTATATATTCATGAGCTGTCATGGATAATTGTCTGTTTCCTCAGTTGTATGGAGTACAGAGCTAGACAAATACAGTTTTCCAGATACTATTAGACTGTAGCTCCCATCAACTCTACATGGCATGGCCAAACTGCTGGGGGCCACAGAGAAGGTTTTCTTCCACATTCTCTCCAAGCACACTGGTGAAAGTATTTCGTTTCAATAGGGCTCACTATTATACACAGTTAATAGTGGATAATAGTGAGCTCAATTGTCTGTACAGGAATATCCCATGGAAACAAGGATCATACTGTATATTATCAACAAAGGGACCCAAGTGTTACCTGGTCCAGCTCCATGCTGATGTCGAAAATTCTTGACAGATAGTCATTTAGCTTCTTTTGAGATACCTCAGTGATGGCAAGCCATTTTTGCCTTTGTTTTTGCAGCAAATCAAGAACCACATGGCACTTTCCTCTTTTCTTAATGTGCTTAATTATTGCAATGAAAGAGAATGAACAAGAAAATACTCCACACAGGGATATGGACACAAACACACAATAAAATAAAAACAGGCTAAAGGAAAATCTAATCAAAATATGCCCAAATGTACAAAGAAAAACCTGTGTAATGTTGCAATTTTTATGCCACATATTTCACTGTTGAACGTTTTGTTGAGAATCCCCAATTCCTTGAGCAGCAGGTGTAGGTCTCTTATGTTCCTCATGTCACAATATCCATTTTTTGAGCCACAATAAGGCCAAAGGTGTCATGTGATATCCTTACGACTAACATATTTAACATAGCATGCTCCAGGCACATGCAGTGGTGTTCATCCTCCAGGGTGTCAATTCAGGCTGGCTTGAAGAATAAGATGAAGTAAAATGCAAACAGCTGACCACAAGGGCCAATCTGGGTCCATGGAGCCTTATAAAGCCGGTGCCTGAGAGTGGGATATTCATTCAGAGCAGCTTGTGTCACTGAAGAGGACTTCATTTTGGTAAACCAAGCTCCTCTCTTGACCTTCTTGTCTTGGACATGGATTTTTATTATTTGTGGCCTTTGTAACTTCACCTACTGTTTAGGGAAGGTGAACATTTACTTGTCCCAGATTCAACACTCTTCGCTCACCCCCACCGTGAAATGTGATACCTCCAGAACCCTGAAACTCACCATCCATCCCCTCCCAGTCTGTGCACACATTTTCCATGCACAGATGGTTAATGTTAATCCTGGTGGGTTAGAAAGAAAGTTAGATATGGGTGCTGCCTTAAAGTTTCTGATCACAATCCCTTAACGTGTTCGAGCAAGTCCTCTCATTCCATTTCAAGAGTTCAAGGCTTGAGAGAGAAAATTGGATTCCTTTGTTCTAGGAAAGAGAAGATCACAGTGTTACTTAATCTGCATATTAATTGCCTCACATGTCTCACAGTGAATATGGGATTTAATCTTCCAGGAGTGGCTGCAATCAACACAGCTGCTTTTGGGTGTTGTGACCGTGCCTGCATCATCTTTCCTCTTACAGGTAAGCATGCTGTGTTTGCATGAGACGCATCATTTGATGATTGTAAAACACATTTTTATTGGTTATATTTATATCCCACATCTCCATATATCATCCTCCTCATAATGCAACAGAATCAGCACAAGAGAACAATTATCCCCAAAGTCCCACTAAGGCCCCTTCTACACTGCCATCTAATCCAGATTATCAAAGCAGATAATTCATATTATCTGCTTTGAACTGGATTATATGAGGTTACACTGCCATATAATCCAGTTCAAACCAGATAATCTAGATTTTATATGGCAGTGCAGAATGGGGTAGAGACTTCTATACAGAGTTATGCAGATTATAACAATTGTACAGCTCACAATATTCTTGACAATGTGTTGGGTTGCTGTGAGTTTTCCGGGCTGTATGCCATGTTCCAGAAGAATTCTCTCCTGACATTTGGCCCACATCTGTGGCAGGAGTCCACAGAGGTTGTGAGGTCTGTTGGAAACTAGAAAAATGGGGTTTATATCTCTGTGGAATGTCCAGGGTAGGAGAATGAACTCTTGCCTGTTTGAGGTAGTTGTGAATGTTTCAATTTGCCACCTTAATTAGCATTTAATGGCCCAGCAGCTTTAAAGCTTGGATGCTTCCTTCCTGGTGGAATCCTTTGTTGGGCGGTGGTTAGCTGGCCCTGACTGTTTCTTGTCTGAAATCCCCCCTCCCCCCCTTTTTTTAGTGTTGCTCTTTATTTACTGTCCTGATTTTAGAGTTTTTTAAATACTGGTAGCCAGATTTTGTTCATTTTCATGGCTTTGTCTTTCTGTTGAAATTGTCCACATGCTTGTGGATTTCACTGGCTTCTCTGTGTAGTCTGACATGGTGGTTGTTAGAGTGGTCCAGCATTTCTGTGTTCTTAGATAATCTGCTGTGTCCAGGTTGGTTCATCAGATGCTCTGCTGTGGCTGACTTCTCTGGTTGAATTAGTCTGCAATGCCTTTCATGTTCCTTCATTCATGTTTGGGTGCTGAGAATCCTGAGAATCTTTTAGGAATCCAATCACACATTGCTGAGCTACAGACATAGACTCCATAGCAGTAAGATGCGAGTGAGATGTGTTCCACACTGGGCATGCACACTCAGCAGCAGAGTAACAAAGCGCAAGGGCAGATGTCTTCACTGTATCTGGTTGTGATCCCCAGGTTGTGCCAGTCAGCTTTTGTATGATACTGTTTCTTATTTATTTATATTCAATTTTAGACATATGCTATACATTTCTCCTTTTATTTACATTCACCCCTGTGCTCCCCTTCCCCAGAGCCATCTCTTCTTCTAAAGTCTCACCAAAAGTTCAATTCTTCATTTATTATATATATACTAGCTGTACCCGCCACGCCTTGCTGTGGCCAATCTTCCCTCCCTCTTTCTCTCCTTCCTTTGCTCCCTCTTTCCTTCCTTCCTTTTTTTCTTTCCTTCTCTTCTTCCTTCTCTACCTCTTCCCTTCCTCCCCCATTTTTCTTTCCCTCCCACTTTTTCTTCGTTCCTTCCCTACTGCTTTCCTTCTTTCCTTCTCTCTTTCCCTCCCTCTTTCTCTCCTTTATTTCTTTCTTGCTCCCCTTCCCTCCCTCTTTACTTCCCTTTTTTCTGTATCATCATTTAGCTTTTGTCATTTAGCTTGTTTGGGTTTCCAGTCCTTTCCGCTTTTTTTGGGGGGGGGGGGGTTATGAGTGATGGTCACACGTTAGTCTGTTAGGGGTGAAGCGTCCAAATTTTGTGTTAATTCTTTCAGTGGTATTTGAGTTAAGTTAATCCCACAAACGAGCATTACATTGAGATATATATATATAGAGAGAGAGAACAAAAATATTATATATATAGGAACAAAACATATATTTAATGAATTGAGAACAAAGAAAGACAAATTAGATAAGATAGAACTAGATGAGGTTGAAAAGAATTTTATATATTTGAAAAAGGAGTTTTTCAAATAGGTTTAAGTAAATAAAGGTTTTTCCCTGACATTAAGTCCAGTCGTGTCTGACTCTGGGGGCTGGTGCTCATTTCCATTTCTAAATCGAAGAGCCGGCATTGTCTGTAGACACCTCCAAGGTCATAGTGGCCGGCATGACTGTTTGAAGCGCCGTTACCTTCCCGCCGGAGTAGTACCTATTGATCTACTCACATTTGCATGTTTTCGAACTGCCAGGTTCGCTGGGGCTAACAAGCGGGAGCTTACGCCGCTCCCCAGCTTTCAACCTGTGACCTTTCGATCAGCATGTTCAGCAGCTCTACTCTTTCACCCACTGAGCTGCTACCTATAGTATGATATTGTTTCTAGGATCTACTTTTTGCTTGATATTCAAGTAGAGGGGGGAAAGGAAAGGGCCTGAGGCTGTTGGGAATGGTGGGAGTTGGAGTCCAAAACACCTGGAGAGAGGGCCCAAGTTTGCCCATGCATGAGCTACCTTGACCTACTAATTTGCATGTGTTTTCTGATTGGCCAACATTCTCACATTCTTAAGCTACTGAGGGGGAAAAGGAAGGAGCGTGAGGCTGTTAGGAATTGTGGGAGTTGGAGTCCAAAACACCTGGAGGGAGGGCCCAAGTTGGCCCCGGTCTGGTCTAGACCTTGTAGAACTACAGCAACGTTGGCACGCGCTGGCCTGGGTTCGGCTCCTGGCAGCACCTTGGCGTCATCCACCTCCGATTGGCTGGCCTCGGAGGCCGGGCCCCGCCCCCTCCCCTCCTATTGGCCTGCTGCTCCGGCCCAGCCCCGCTTTCCTGGAAAGTTCTTGGAAATCCATCAAAGGTATTTCCTTGAACGGAGGAGGCGGGCGGGCGGGCTGGCCGGCGAGCGAGCGGAGCCTCCACTGTCGGTTCCTCCGATCTCCTTTCAACGCGCGCTCACTCGCTCTCGATCTCTTTCCGTATATTTCCCCCTCTTTTGACCCACTTCGAGATCGCTTGTGGGCGGGGAGGGGGAGGGGGTTCTATTTATACTTCTCCTTTTTTGTGTGTGACTCTCGGAACCGTGATGCGAGTGCGATGCAATTCCTGGAATCCGCCACTTCCTGGAATAGATTAAAAGGCAGCAAACAAAAGATTACTTACTGGCGGGTGGCTCTCCCTCCCTCCCTCCCTGCCTGCCAGTGGATTCAGCGTCGTCGTCGGGGCAGGTCGCGCCAGAGGGGAGCCCTTCCTCTTGGTGGCCAGAGGGCTCCTCCGCATCCCTTCAGTCGCCTGGCTCCGGCCTTCCCGGATTTTAAAAGCCGGCGGGAAACTAGATTGATATCAGAACCGGGGCATTTAATAGAAAAACACGGTTATTTGTTTTATCCTTGCTGAGAATTCCTGGGGAAACACTGGCACGTCCTTCAGCTCCTCTCTTGCTGGAAAGGAAGACTTTCTGGATACCTCAAGTTGCTGGGTTGTGTTTCTTTCTGTTTACCTCCCTTTTGGGAGAGAGAGAGAGAGAGGACTCCAAGGGGCTTTCGAGAAGGTCTCAACGCGGTCTTCTTCTCTCGCGGACTTTTCCACCCTTTGTGTTTGGGAACAAAGGCAGCCACGAAAGAAGAAGAGAAGATCCCACGGTTCCCTGGCGCCTGGATGCTCTTTCCTTGGTCCTGGAGGGACATGATCCTCTGTATTCAAGGGTAAGGAAGGGCCGGCTTTCTCCTTTCCAGCAGAGGCGCCCATTGGGCAAACCCCAAAGAGACTATTATTATTATTATTATTATTATTATTATTAGAAATACAACAAGATGAGTCCACAGCAGACAAGATCACTCTGCTGGCTGTTGTATTGGATCACACGTTGGGCATTTCCCAAGTGTCTAGGACTGTGTGATGTTTATTATTATTATTTATATATTATATGTGATTATTATTTATTGGGTGAGATGGGAGCTTCAGTGGGATAAATATGCTGGGGAAGATAGTGTAGGGCAGACAGGGGCCAGCTTGGATCCTCCAGGTATTTTGGACTTCAGCTCCCACCATTCCTAGCAGCCTCAGATTCTTTCCTTTCTCCCATCAGCCACTTCAGATGTGCTTGAATATCAAGCAAAAAGTTGGTGCTAGAAACAATATCGTACTATATTCGAAAAACTTTTCAAATATATCAAATTATTTTGAACCTCAGTCTATTTCTATCTTATCTAATTCTTCCTTCTTTGCTTTCAATTCATTAAATATATGTTTTATTCTTTTATGATATATATTATCTATATAAATAAAAATGTAATGTTCGTTTGTGGCATCAACATAACTCAAAAACCACTGGACAAATTGACACCAAATTTCGACACAGTACACGTATCAGGCCAATGCATGACCATCACTCATAAAAACTCTGAAAAACACAGAAAAGACTTAAAAAGCCAAAAAGTAAAAAGAAAGCTGACTGTAATGCAAATAAAAGAGGGGGGGGGGGAGGAAAGGGCCTGAGGCTGTAGGAATTGTGGGAGTTGGAGTCCAAAACACCCGGAGGGCCCAAGTTGGCCCGTGCCTGATGCAGGGAATACCTTTTTAGCTCTTTTAAGTGGGTTCCCGCTCACATTGGTGTTTGTGGAGGGAATGAATGTTTCCCTGGAATGTAAAACCCTTTGTGTGAGTTTCTACTCAAAGCAAAACAACAGGCGCTTTCCCTCACCTTGGGAAATCGAGCCTGCCCCATCCAGAGATGTTAAAAAGAAGTCGGCACAGCCTATATTTCTAAAAAGTACAGAAACAAACAACACTGTGCTCTGTTTGAGAGAAGCAAATGTGGCTTTCTCAGTTCTGTAGCAAGGGAGAAGGCGGTACCCATGGGAAGTGAATTTCAGATATGAGCGGAGACATGGTGCTTTGGGGTGAAGCATATAATTTATTCAAGAAGTAGGCTTATTCTGGAGTAGATGTGAATGACACAATGTATTTTAACTTAAGTGCCTGTAGTACTCTCTGTCAGCTTCCTGCCTTGTACCTTATGCTTAGTTCCTTTCCTCACATGCATGGCTTCTCAGCCCCATACCTTTGTTAGAATTATGTATTGTTTAGAAGCCATTTTTGTTCCGCTCCAATGTAGATTGAAAGACATCGGTGGCCTCGTGGCTAAATTTTGTTACTATGGATGTATTGTTGTATTCGGACATTGAATGTTTGCCTTTTATGTTTGGAATCTGCCCTGAGTCCCTCCAGGGAGATAGGGCAGAATATAAATTAAGTTGTTGTTGTTGTTGTTATTATTATTATCAACTGAGATGCTTGGTGGAACTTGTACCTATATAGTCCAACACTATCTGCAGCAAAATTGGGGTGTATTTGCATAGTAAGAGTTGTATTGATTTCATACAACTTTAGTTAATAATATTATTGTATCCCGCCACCATTTGTATCCCGCCACCATTTCCCCGAAGGGATTTGGGGTGGCTTGCACATGGTGCAAGGTGCCAAAAAACAGACCATAAAACGAAAACAATTTAAAAATGCGATTAAATAAAACATATGGACATATAAAACAACAACTAACACTCAGTTTAAAACAGCACTCATCAACCAGTGGTGATAAGCTACTACTAACGTGGCCACTCCAGGCAGTAAACAATCAATCTGGGAATATGATAAGTGGAAAGCTGTAATTGTCATGGACCCTGAGATTTGTAGAGAAGCAACGAGAATCCTGTCATCTAGTGATTCTCAAACTGTGCTCTTCCAGGAAATTCAGCTCCCAGCATGCCTACATTCAATCATGCTTGTTGTTGAGAATTATTAAGACTTGGAGACCAAAATATCTGGAGGGTGAAAGACTGGAGAACCACTCCCTTCCACAACAGTTCTCAGCATACCTTGAGAAGAGAGTGTTTGAAGATTAAATCAGTTGACTTCTGTAGCGTAGACAAGTTCTGAACCTCAGTCCTTTTGCTGATGCACCATGTTTTGAAACTCTTTCTTTTGCAGTAAGTTTTTAATATTATTTGTTGCTCCCAGTATTGAGCAGCCTGCCCCATGGCTATGCTTCTCCTTTGCTTCCCCCTCTGATAAATTTTAGGAAATGGCTTCTGTATTCCACATGCCTAGGTTAAGATCACTATCTGTTGTATCGTGCTTCTACACCTACTCAAAAATGTTCCCCAGCTTACTATGCACCTGTCTCTCTTGTACTCCCGGTTGGTGTCTTTGCTGCCCGTCACCCACACACTCTCATACTTTCTTTCTTGCTGCCTTGCCCCCTCACCTGTAACACAGAGCAGAATGCCTGTTTCATCAAGGAGGAATGCAGAGAAAATCCTAAAAATGAAACACATAGGCCACTGCTCCCGGAGACAAAAGGGCAGGAGAGAGTGCTTTAAAAAGAGACTGGGACAATGTGTTTTGAACCCTACAAGCAATACATGAGAAAGGATTATTAGACTTTTGGAACAGTGTTTGATCTCTTCCCACTCACCCCAACAAGTTATTAAAACAAATGGTGTCTCCCTTTCAAATCTTTTGTATTTCTCTCTCTTGTAAGGGGAGACCTCTGGCTCAAAGAGTGCTTTGTCAAGTACTTATTCAGTCCAGAAAATAATGTGGGTTGTAGTAACATATGCCTTCTTCTCTCTTTGGCAAGGAGAAGATTGTGACTAGTGATTGACTGCTAGGGCCAACAGTGACAGTTTTGTTGTAGGTTTTTTGGGCTATATGGCCATGTTCTAGAAGCATTCTCTCCTGACATTTCACCAGCACCTATGGCAGGCATCCTCAGAGGTTTTGGGGCCACAGACCTCACAGCCTCTGAGGATGCCTGCCATAGATGCAGGCAAAATGTCAGGAGAGAATGCTTCTAGAACATGGCCATATGGCCCAAAAAAACCTACAACCCAGTGATTCCAGCCATGGAAGTCTTTGACAATACAGTGACAGTTTTAATAGCTGTGATCTAGGAACTGGTTGTTGAGTGCCTTCAAGGCATTTCTGACTTATGGAACCCTAAAGCAAACTTATTATTGGCTTTTCTGGAGCTGAGAGTATGTGACTTGTCCAAGGTCACCCAGTGTGTTTCCATGGCTGAGCAGGGAATATCTAGAGTCATCCTCTGATGAACAAACCGCTATACCACGCTGGCTTTTGCTTTTAGGAGATGTGTAAACTCAGTTAATTGTCATGTGGTCATTTCCGCAGCCAGGGAGCACAAATCTGATTCTATAACTTCTATATAGTAAGGCCACATATAAGTGAATATTTTAAAAGGAAAGAAACCCACCAATATCAACTTGTTGATGCCAATAGGACTGGATTCAGCCGCACCTACATTCTAGTCCTTTCTAAGGTTTAGTTACCAACAAGAAATTATGGAACAGGGCATGTTTAGCCTGAAGAAGAGAAGGCTGAGAGGAGATATGATAGCCATGTATAAATATGTGAGAGGAAGCCACAGGGAGGAGGGAGCAAGCTTGTTTTCTGCTTCCTTGGAGACTAGGACGCGGAGCAATGGCTTCAAACTACAAGAGAAGAGATTCCATCTGAACATTAGGAAGAACTTCCTGACTGTGAGAGCCGTTCAGCAATGAAACTCTCTGCCCCGGAGTGTGGTGGAGGCTCCTTCTTTGGAAGCTTTTAAGCAGAGGCTGGATGGCCATTTGTCAGGGGTGATTTGAATGCAATATTCCTGCTTCTTGGCAGGGGGTTGGACTGGATGGCCCATGAGGTCTCTTCCAACTCTTTGATTCTATGATTCTATGAACACAGTTTCCATGAAATGAATGGGGAGGGGATTGTGACATGTTTACTACTTCACTTATTTATATAGAGTCATTAATATGCTTGGAACGTTTTACACTTTCCTTAGAGAGAGAAAAGTAGCTCCCCCAAGTAGCTCAAAATCTGAAAAAGAGAAAGGAAAAGGTAGAAATATGAACAGGAGAGATAAAGTAGATGATGGATTAATATTTGCAGGCATGTCCACTTGATGTTCTTGAGCATGGGGATTATGGGATTAAGCCAAAGGCCAAAATATCTAAATACGTCAATCACAACATTTCCAAAGAAATCTGTCACTATCCATGAGAGCTTGGAAAAGATAATTCTGGAGTGCAACACATCCAGTCCATGTGGTTTCTGACCCTGATGGTCAGGGCACTCTGGGATCTATAGTCAGAATAACCTTGTCCTACTTTTAGCACACCAAAATCAGATATTTCTAGGACACATCATACTACCCCGGGACCTCCAGTTCTGTCTCCCCCTCATCACAGAAAAGCTGTTGAGGACAAATATGTTTGGACAGAATGCATCCCTCATACAATCATAGAATCATAGAATCCTTAAGCTGGAAGAAACCTTGTGGGCCATCTAGTCCAACCCCCTGCCAAGAAGCAGGGAAATCGCATTCAAAACACCCCTGACAGATGGCCATCTGGCCTCTGTTTAAAAGCCTTCAAAGAAGGAGCCTCTACCACAGTCCAGGGCAAAGAGTTCCACTGCTGAACAACTCTCACAGTCAGGAGGTTCTTCCTCAGGTTCGGGTGGAATTTCCTTTTCTTTAGTTTGAAGCCATCGTTCCATGTCTTAGTCTCCAGGGCAGCAGAAACAAGCTTGCTCCCTCCTCCCTATGACTTCCACTCACATATTTATACAATGGTCATCATGTCTCCGCTCAGACTTCTCTTCTTCAGGCTAAACATGCCCAGCTCTTTAAGCCACTCCTCATAGGGCTTGTTCTCCAGACCCTTGATCATTTTAGTCGCCTTCCTCTGGGTAGGAGTGCAACAACATGAGGAAAAGATTGACCTCTGCATTAGTTTTAACTGGGAATAATCACATAAAAACTGAGGAAGAAAGGCCAACCTTTACAGATTACTTTTTAAAAAAAGAATAATGTGAAGGCCAGCATTTGACCTGAACTGGCAGAATTTGGAACTGGGAACTTCCTTCCTACCTTGTTTAGTAATTTACTGCTGTACAAAGTACTGTTTATCAGGATTTGCCAGCTGGTATCACACCCACTTTGGAGAGCCAAGTGATTACACAAGACGTAATGAAGCTCAGAAGTCAAGCTAAGATGGGTTGTTTTTTGCTGAAAGGCCTCAGTTCAGAAAAACTGTTGAATTTAGCTCTGTTGAGATGCTTAGCATAGAGCTTGTTCTTGTTTTTGATCCTGCATTGCACAAGAAGGTCTTTTCCCCATGGTTATGGAGAAGAGGTGAGGGCCAACATGAACTTTTCTGTCTTTGTAGATTTCTAGCAATATCTGTTTACCATGTGAGTCAGGTTTGTTGCTCTATCTCCTGCCAGTGAGCGTATTCTGCATGTGGTTTTTTTTTTTAAATTCCCATGCATTTCCCTTCTAGGAAGATACAAAAGATTACTGCTCAGAACCTGTTAAATTGTTATTTTAAAATAGTGATGAAATCAGAGGCTTTGTGAGTGGTATTACTTCATGCATGCTTTTCCTGTGCTCACTGGAAATCTAACTGGTTGTTTTCAAAGAAGGAGACGTGTTAGTCTCTTGCAGCATAAAAAGGGGGAAGGAAGGGGGAAGGAAGAGATGTGGCAGTACATTTAAGAATAACAGCTTTTTATTTTTGTGAATATAAAGTTACAGTATTGAGTTTTAATATTAGTACTATGTTTTACTTCTAGTAAATTGGGTTAATCTAAAAGATAGCAGGATGAGATTGTACAAAGTGGGAGATGGCAGAACAAAGATAGCATGAGATAGATATAATTTTATCCTCTGGCTTCATCAGGGCATTATTGATACTATATACAGTCAATGCAACTTTAAAAGACAACTACAACCACACTCATGCAGGAGGCTGTATAATTCAAAGAGAAAGGCATTGGGGCATTTCCAAACGTTTCTTTCAAATTTCTGCATGTGTGCCTGCTCCATTCTGCATAGAATCATAGAGTTGGGAGAGACTTCATGGGCCACCTTGTCCAACCCCCTGCCAAGAAGCAGAAAAATGACATTCAAAGCACCCTCGACAAATGGCTATCCAACCTCTGTTTAAAAGCCTCCAAAGGAGGAGCTTCCATCACATTCCAGGGCAGAGAGTTCCACTGCTGAACAGCTCTTACAATCAGGAAGTTCTCCCTAATGTTCAGGTGGAATCTCCTTTCCTGTTGTTTGAAGCCATTGTTGAAAGCAGAGCTAGGAAATTCTCCATTTTTGGATTACAACTCCCAGCTTCCCATCCCTAGCCAGCAAGAGCATCCAGCTAAGCAATGCTGAAAGATGATGTATCCCAAACACTACTAACTGAAACTGTGGTTGAAAGAAAAGTAAATAAGGGTTTGTAAACAAGTGGCCAATTACAACTGATGGATACAGTCCCATTGCCAGCTGGAATAGGGTGCTAGTTCATGTAACTGGCAGGGGAGGAGGAACATGTGGCAAAACCAGATTCAAGAGGAAAATAGTCTTGTATCTAACAGTCAGTTCTGTTCTTTCAATCAGCAGCTCTTTATGGAATTGGTATTGTACCTTTGCTGTTGTTTTTCCTTCCTGACACAATCAGCAATATCCAGCATATCTTCCTTAGCAAATGTTTAGATTCAGATAAACAATTTTTTAAAAACGTGAGAGGTAGTTTCACAGAAAAGCAGTGTAGTGGATGCTTAAAAACATATTGTGTGGCAGCTCTTTGGGAGCAGGTTGCCTAGCTTTGGCCACCCACTGAGACAAGGATTACTGTGCCCTTCCCTGCAGCTCCATTGAGTTCAAAGGGGCTGTTAAAGCTTGATAGCAGTCACCTTGCTTGAAGGGTAGAGAGGGCGGGCAGTCCCTGTGGTTGTGGAGGCACTACAGGGCCACTGTTCCTCAAATGAAGCCACCCTTCTGCAAATGATTATTTGAAACCACCTTGAGTCAAGGAGGAGTGCACATTTTGTTTCTGTTCCACCATGTCCTTGACATTTCTGGGCTTACACGGAAAGAAAAAATCTATATATGTTAGTGCCTATCTATTTTTGAAGTGGAAGTTCTTTGTATTTAAAAGTGGTGGTGGCGAATGGAATGCATGAAACAGTGGTTTCGTAGTTTAAAAAACTATGCCTGTCTTGTTGTCTTAATAGAATATGTGAGCACACAAATAATGGTGAAACTGAGTTTAATATAGAACATTTTTATTTCTGTGTATTAATAGTTTTTTTGATCCCTCCTACAGTTAGGTTATTCAGGTATAATGAGTGTTAGAAATAAAAGTGAAAACAGAATGTATCGATTTCAATTCTATTGTTTAATCCTAACCAGAGTAGATCCACTGAATCAATTGTTGAATTGTGAGTGAAGGAACACATAGGTGTAAATAGTGATTCAATGGGCTTACTCTAGTTCAGGTCAATATTTGCAAAATAACAGCCTGTATTTTAAAATTTTGTCCAAATACCATTTTTTTAAAAAATATTGCTCTTTAAAGGATGCATTAAGGCACTAAACCCCACTGGGTTATTATTTGAATTATTTTATTTATATCCCACGTCCCCCCCTCTCCCAAACCGAACAACTGTCTATAATCCATTGGAAGACAATATTAAAAGCAACAACAAAAAAAAAAAAACAGCACAACCCATCACAGTCAACTCCTGACAGAATAGGAAAACATTTTACTTGCTAGAAGAAAAGGAGGAGGAGAGCCATCTTGGTCTCTTTAGGGAGGGACTTGCCAAGTCTGGGAGCAGCCACCAAGAAGGTCCCCCCCCACCCCCTTGTTCTCACCAGACAAAGCTGAGAAGACAGAGAGAAGAGCCTCTCTTGGGAGTCATGCAGGGTCAGCCCTGGTTAGTATTTGATGGGAGATTGCCAACAAATACAATGAGCTGTAGGCTACATTTCAGAGAAAGGAACTAGCAAAGCCACCTAAGACTTTTATGGGGTTGCCATCAAATTAACAGGCAACATGAAGTCATATACACACATCTAGAGTCCTGGAGCCAGTTGTAAATGAGTAGTGGTGCATGTAATTGGCAAGAGAAAAGAAGACTGCTGGGCTAAATCAGAACCAAATTCAGGCAGCACTGAGTTCTGTTCTTTAGCTAATTTTGTTCTTTCACGAATTCTATGTGAATTAGTGAAAGAACTAATTCTTTCACTAATTCTATGTGAATTAGTTCTTTCACTAATTCTATGTGAATTATGGGAATTGTATTGTTGACATTTTTCCATCTCAATATCTACAGTTTAGAGTATTTTTTATGAATGCTGCAAGGATCTCATGAGTAGACATGTACTATTGGTTGTCCCCTATCCAGCAGTGGGCACCAGATGTGTGCTTAATTTTACAAACTGATGTATGCATACTCAAAGGAAGATCTCACCAGCACTTACTCTCAAATAAGTACGCTTGACGATTGCAGCAGAAGTGACTTGATTTGATCTTCTTGTCCTCCTCTTTGAGATGAACTTGCATAGGAATCTGCTTATGCAATATAGTATATAGTAGCACAACACGTTAGTGCAGTAGGCAGTAGTATGATGATGCAAACTGGTTCTGGGCAGGATAAAAATAACCCAAAATGCTCTTCTTTTTCAGAACCCATCCTTTGCTGGCAGAGGAAAAGAGGAGGCGGTCGCTTGGGGGCCTTACAGTTAATGTGCCAGAGCAGGTCATGCAGCCTCTTCCAGTTGTGCCCTTCCAAGATGAGGCTGCTCCTCCTCCCTCGGTGGCACCCACACTTGAGAGCAAGCCACCTCAGGCACGAGACCCGGAGGAAGACCTCCTGTGTATTGCTAAAACATTTTCATACCTGCGAGAATCTGGTAAGAGTCCACTACAACGATACCCCCCACCCCACCAGCCCTGAGTTTGCAGAAATTGTCTTGAGGAAGATGCAACTCCCAGAATAGCTCCACTGGCATAGCCACCACTTCTGATAGCAGATGGGTAGGGAACATTTTGGGATTTGTAGCCAAAGAATCCTACATCTTTTCAAGCCTCTGCCTCCAGCCCTTGAAATCAGGGTCTTCTCCATGGTGGAATAAACATGAAACTGTTATTGTAGGCTGCCTCTTATTGAAATGTAGCTGTAGGAGAGAAATGAGTCTCACACATATCTCCCAAGATGGCAAGAGATGCATCAGAGGAGAGAAAAGGCCTTACTAGCATTTTTACAAGGGTTCAATATCAGGCAAATGGTAGTCTGTTCTTTTAAATACCTTGCTGGTAGAGCCCAGGGAATTCTGTATTCAGTAGTGCCTGCAAACAAACCCAAAGTGGTGAAAACATTTAGTTGTTTGGAAGGACTACATTCTCTCATATGATCCTGCACACCTTCAGGGGGCCCCTCCTCTTAATCCAGTTACTCTCACAGTTGGTAGTGACTTCCAGGCCTTGGAGCTCCCTTTCTCAAAGGCTGTTCAGATTAACCGCCTGGTATCCTTCCATTGGCAGGTAAAGGGTTGGTTATCCAGGCAAGCTTTGGGGATTTGACTCTTTATAAAGGACTTTTTATAGCCTGCTTCACTGTTGTTTGCTACCCAGTTTTAATGGACATGCTTCAACATTGTTTAACCTGCTGCCTTTGCTGGGTTAAGGTCACAAGACCCCTGAAAAAGTAGAAAACCTTTTTAACCTGAGAGAATATCTTTCTAGGAAACTAGATTCTCCAGTGGGATTCTGTGGTCAGTTTTCACCAGAAGTCCTACTAGAGAACCTACAATTCCTAGAGAGATCATATTAATCAAATCCAAAAAAAAGCAAAACTCATTTATGTGGAGAGTTGACTAGATATTGGAATTATAGCATTTTGTGTATTTTATGTATGCTTGTATTATCTTATTAGCTTACATTTTTGTAAGTCACTAAGTCTCAATTTTGAGGGAAACAATGGTGATGATGATGATAGGGATTAAGTTTAAAACTGTGGGAGATAGATTCAAATTCTTGTCATTAATCTGCCTCACAAGAGTCTCAGTTTGATTACTTCTCAGGCTGTTTTGGAAATAAAGTAGAGGTGAGCAGTGTGTCAGTCTGAATTCACTGATAGTAGGAATTATCAATACATGTCCTTTCCCCTCCCTTACTATTGTCTCCACTTTGTTTGCATGTTTTCCTTGTGATTCTTAACCTCTCCTTACTCTTGAATTTCTTTCAGGCTGGTACTGGGGCTCTATCACAGCCAGTGAAGCTAAGCAGCAGCTCCAAAAGACGCCCGAGGGCACTTTCTTGGTACGGGACAGCACCCATCCCAGCTACCTGTTCACCCTTTCAGTCAAGACCAATAGAGGCCCCACCAACGTGCGCATAGAATATGCCGACAGTAAGTTCCGGTTAGACTCCAATTGCCTCTCCAAGCCTCGGATTTTGGCCTTCCCAGACGTGGTCAGCCTTATCCAGCATTACGTTCTTTCCTGCACTGTGGAGAGCAAAAGTGAGGCCCCTTACCCGCCTCCCCTGCCACCCTTACAGAAGGAGATGGTGGCGTCAGCAGTACATTTGAAACTCATCCGGCCACTTGGTCGCAAGGACGGTGCTCCCAGTCTGCAGCACCTCTGCCGGCTGCAGATCAACAGATCTACTGCAGAGACAGAACAGTTGCCTCTGCCAAAGAGAATGAAGGACTATTTGAAACAGTACCCTTTCCGGCTTTGAGGACACAACACATTTTAGTTTTGCCTCAGATGGACAATGAAAATATTTTTATAATAAATAAAAAATACTCAAATACAGAGGGGACAGTGATGTGGCTTTGAGCCACTGTGGTGAGTGAGCAAAGCAAATAAGTGGCTACCAGAAGAGATCATATCTCATCTTCACTCCTCTTACTCTCCTTCCCCCCTCAGCTATCCGATTCCATTCCCATGCCATGGGGAACGCTGCTTGTTCCAGTGAAATGTGTGCGTGGTACAAAATTCTAGTGCCCAAACCTCAGGGCTACTCTTTTTCTCTCTGGCTATGGCTGGGAGGAAGCTTTCCCAGCTTGTGCTCACTACTTGAATTTCAAAATCACCATCACACCAGGAATGTTCAGGCATTGTTACTGTTGTTTATTTATACCCATGGTATACTCTCTTCCCATTGCTTCTAATCAAGATTGTTTTTACTTAATTCTCCTTTTCCAAACGACATTATTAGAAAGGGACTCAGACTGTAACTATCTGTGTTAGCCTTAAGTTGTGTGTGTATGTACAGGGGAAGCTGAATGTGAACTTCAGTTAAGATGTCTGGTGGGAAACCTGCTCCATCATCTGCAATGATGTATTGTAGTCTTCCCAGGTGGGGGTCCCTCTAGACATTTTAGACTTTATTTCTTATTATTGAACCGGTTGATGGGCACCTGGTTGGAGAAGTTGGGATAGGGATCCCATCCCTACCATGAAATTGCTCAGCTAAATGAATGTGGACTTGCATCAAGGTGGATCTTTTCTCACCATTCCCCATTTTGAAGAGAAGGCTCCCATTATTAATTTGCTACATGACATCCTATTGATTGGTTCTCAAACCAACAACTGCAGGCGGTTCCTGAATTCCTGTCACACAAAACTTAAGGGTATGTCTTGATGGGATGATCACAAATGGACTATTGGTTATAAAGGTGATTCCTACTATATTGCCACTACAACACATCTTTATTTTCCTTTGTTGGGGGAAGTAGCAAAAGGCACCTTCCCGTTCACAATTATTTCACTAGTATCAGTCAATCAGTTGAATGTTAAGCCATTGTTTCATCAGTCTGTTAGTACCATGGCAATCCACAGAGAACAGAATCCTATTGTATTGCTCACAGTCCTATTTTGTGGATGGAACTTTGAATAATGGCCTAAATCCAATATTAGTGTTCTATTTTTATACTGGATTTTTAGGGGAAATACTTCCTTAAAATCCTTTCTCACTTTCATAAATGGACATTGGCTACCATGCGTTCTCTTAAAATTGAAGATTCCAACCGTCTAAGAATTTGGTTGTCTTCCATTGGATGTCTTAATTACTTAGGAGAATCAATGGATATACCTGCTTTTATAAGCATACGGCTGAGTTGGAGAAAGATGCCTCTACTATAATACAGGGTGAAAATCAAGGATTAAGACAAACTTCCTCAGTAGCCATGCTGGCAGCAATAATCTAACATATCTGGAAGACATCAGGTTGGGGAAGTAGACATTCCAGTGCAACCTGAAGGAAATGTTAGTAGCAAGGTGCTCCAACAGCAATCTATTTAGTCAGTGTCCATTTCTTTTCATGTCCCCCCACCCCCAACATTTGTTATTTCTGGTTTTCTTTTGGTTACTTTAATAATTGCTGGAGGATGTGTGCATGTGTGGTATTTGGTTTGTTGATCAATGAGCTCTCCACTTGTGCACTATGGCAGGTGCTGGAGCAAGAGCAAATGAATGAGAAAAGAAAATATATTGAAACAAAACAAAATACAATAAATCATATTTTTAAATACAAACATGTAAAGTTTTCTTTCCAAATGCAAAAGAAGCCTTTCACAATGCTGAACTTTTAGGTATTGAAACTATAGTAGGACTTCCAGCAAATTCATCTGCTGATCTTCCAGATGACCTAACCGCTGCATTGACCTATTTACCTCAACATTACCATCATATTTCTATGGGCTGGAAAGTAGTAAAAGCCACAAGAAAAGGTATTCAACAACATGTTTAATGCCGGGATCACAGAAGAAGGTTTAGAATTCATACATGTCAAACTAGAGAGTGTAATACACAACGCTTGCAAATCTTACCTTTTTAGACAGCAAAAATTTCTTAGCAGCTATCTTCTTATGTTCAAACACCCCTCAGTGTTTGGGGGACGTTATTCTGCAATATCATTTAAGCACAACATCCACGCGGTCTTCTGCAAAGAAAACACTGTTCCCTGTGCTATAAACTTTTTTTGTGGGGAAAATCCACATATTTCTGTGAAGAATGATTTTCTTGGAACTTAGGCTGGATCTACACTGCCATATAATCCAGTTTCTGAATCCAGATCATCTGGTTTGAACTGAATTATATGAGTCTACACTGTCATATAATCCAGTTCAAAGCAGATAATCTAGATTCAGAAACTGGATTATATGGCAGTGTAGATGGAGCCATAGAATCACAGACTCATAGAGCTGGAAGAATTCACAAGTTCCATCCAATCTAACTCCCTCCCATGCAGGAACACACAGTCAAAGCACTCCTGACAGATGGCCATTCAGCCCCTGTTTAGAAACCCCCAGAGAAGGAGACTATGTTGCATCAAGGCAGTGTATTCCACCATTGAACAGTTCTTACCATGAGGAAGTTCTTCCTTTTCTACAGTCTGAATCCATTGCTCTCTGTCCTAGTCTCTGGAGCAGCAGAAAACAAGCTGGCTCCCTCAAAGATCTTAAAACAGCGATCATGTCCTCTCTCTTCTTCAAGCTAAACATGCCTAGCAGCCTAAGTTGCTCCTCATAGGGCTTGGTTTCCACATCTTTCACCATTTTGTTTGGCCTTTTCTCGACACATTCCAGATTGCCAATATCATTGAATTGTGCTGCCTAGAATGGAACATAGTATTCTAGAATACTCCATATTTTTCAAATGCCAGTAGAAAAGTGCATAAAAGCCTCATTACTTTGGAATTTTCCAATGTTTTAACCGAGAAACTGAAAGATTGAAAATATTGTTTCCATCCCAACTTTAACCCTGAAATGGTCTGGACCTGCTTCTTTATCTGACTTCAATATGCCTCACAAAGATTATACTCTGTTTGGGGATTGCCTATAACACTCAAAGCAAATGTCAGGGAACCTGCAGTGCTATATATACTACAGTGTGTAAGCTTTCATTTCTGTCAGACAACATGACCATTATCAGGAACATGGGGTGATCTAATGCCATTTGGAGGGGCAGGGGTTATTCCTCACTGATCTACCGTCTTGAATTAACCTTACACTAGGTTCAGAAGTTGAGCATACAGTCTTCTCCAATGGCTAATTTCACCAAAGGTTGTCGTCACACCTTTATATTGTGTTGACCTTATTTTAACTGAATCAAAAACATGTTAAGCAAAAGGTGCTATTCCAAATGTGACTGAGGCCAAGAAGAAAAACAGCTGCTATGCATTATACAGTACCATCCCTTTATCTCTTGCCAGACTTCATGTAGATACATGAAACTGTGATAATAGTGAACCCGACTGAAGGACTTCTAGCACAAAAGGTCATGCTAGAGGACCTACGAAATGTCTAGACAGGACATACTTTGTTGGACATAGATACATGAAACCATGGTCACCAGTCCTGTGGGTATAGGAGTCATACTTTATTTCATACATGGAGCACTTTAAAATGATGAGTAGGCATGCTAATTCTGGGATTCAGGGTGTTGTTGACTTAAAATTCACATTTTCAAGTCCTGCTCAAAGTAACCCAGAGGCCTAGACTCAATGTGCTCCCGATTAGAGCAAGAAGCAAAGTAATTGCTACATTGCACAAGGAGAAATTTTAGGAAGATAAAGACTAAATTCATCCATTGCATGGCAAGGAAATGTTTTTCCTGTTAGTTTGAGCACATTGCTTATGTAAGCACCTGTATTTTGGCTATTAAGAGAGAACACAGTAAGACCTGAGTGGTGTGCCTAAATGTCAGCGCTGAGCTGACCTCATCTTGTGAGGAAGGCAAGTAGTTTTTGCCTTGAGCACATGCAGTTGTCAGGCAGGGCCAGAGGGAGAGGTGAGTTGCATGCAGAACAGCCCTCCGCTCCCTGCCTTCTAGGCTTGGCTATGCTCCATTCCTCTCCTCTCCTCTGCAGGCAGAAGCTTGGAAAGAAACCTGTTCCTGCCAGTTGACTACCTGTGAGAAAGTGACATAAGAAAAATTTCCTCATAGCAATGTCTGGTTGAAAGGCAGACTTTCTGTGAGATTCTAGGGCTTACTGGCAACAAGGGTTCAGTTATTTAGATGAGATATATATATAAGCCTGTGAAAAATCTCTGTCTTGCTTGAACTTCATTTTTCCAAATTTCACCTTTATTTTCTTTCCATCCTTGTTCTGTTTCTGTTTGTGCAACTCTGTTTTTCCTTCCTACACACTCCTTTTTAATAAATGCACTTATTTACATGTTTTAATTAATGTATGCCATTTATTCATTGAGTCAAGCAATTTTTTTTGTCATGTCAGGAGTGACTCCTGGTGTGAGAGAATTGTCCATCTGCAAGGACGTTGCCCAGGGGATGCCTGGATGATTTGATGTTTTTATTAGGCCTGGGTAACAACGGAAAAATTTGTTTCTAAAATCGATTTGTATTTGGGGGTTTTTTTTTGTTTCGATATTTAAAATAATTACAAAATTTTCCTTTTAAAAAGTTCGATATTTACGAAATTTCGTAAATGTGGAAAAAATTACAAAACATTAACGAATCGATTTCCGAAACAATAACGAATCGATTCGTTAATGGCGGACGCGACCGCGAAATACGCTAAAAAACCTCCAAAAACTTCTGAAGCTTCCCTCTCCCTCTGTTGTTGACTGTTGGTGTGATATTATAATTTTTTTTCACTAATTAAACAAAAACTTTGCCCCAGACATGCGGAAATAATAACGAAACGACCTCAGAACAATAACGAAACGAATACAATAACGAAATACGAAGCATTTACAAAACGTGTTTAAAAATTCGTTTTTTTAAAAAATTGCTCCAGAATGGTTCGTTATCATTTTGTAATTGAAAAAATTAACGAATTATTAACGAATTACGAATTAACGAAACGAAACCGCCCAGCCCTAGTTTTTATCATCCTTGTGGGAGGCTTCTCTCAGCATGTGTGTGCACCTATTTTTCAAAACGGTTCTGTGCACACTTTGTTTCTCTGAAACACGCCAAAGCACATGGGTCAAATGCAAGGCCTGTGGGCCAAATCCAGACCGCCATGTCATTTTATGTGGCCCGCAAAGTTTTAAATACCAGGGCAACATTTATATAGTCTTAAATAGCCCTGTAAACACAGCCATAAGGCTGATGTGGCCCTCGGTGAAAATGAGTTTGAGACTGAAGCTGAAAATTTGAAGTTTTCTAAGGATCCGTGGATACTGAGGAAAAACCTGGCAAGTTCCGCTAACTGTGAATATTCTGAGATGGGATATAAAAGCCCTAAATAAATAACAAAGAAATAAATGAGGGGACAATGGATGTTGGGTCCCCAGACATTTTCCCATGCTGGGAAGACCAAGAAAAGGTCAGAAAATATCTACTAAGAGAAATCCAAGAGGTGATGCAGCATGGAAGGAAAACATGAAGTTCCATAAAGAAAGTTGGAAAAAATCATGCATGAGTTATAGGAGAATAATACTATATCAATTCAATCAGACCCATAGCCAGGATTTCATTTCGGGGGGGGGGGGGGGGGGCTGAATTATTTTCAGGGGGTTTCGGGGGGAGCTGAGTTTGATTTGGGGGGGGGGGGCTGAGTCTGAGTGAAAGAGGGTCTACCCTAGCAAACCTTTTGTATCATTACCCCAATACCCCCATGCATATGGGATATATTGAGCATAGTGATCAGATCATGATATGAATAAACATAACAGTTTAAATAATGTACCAGTAAGGCCTTTTCGCGAACCACCATGAGAATTTCGGGGGGGGGGCTGAAGCCCCTCAAGCCCCCCCCCCCCCCCCGGCTACATGCCTGAATTCAATAGAGAAACATGAAAGCGATAAAGAGAATAATAAGAAAATAAGAAAAGTAGCAGATCTGAAGACTGAAATAAGAGAAGCATAAAACTGGCAGCTCAATCAGTGGTCCCATAATTCAGATGATAGTCCCATAATTCAGATGATAAATACTGCAAAGTTTGAAATCTTTCAAATATTTCTGAGTTTTGTTTTGTTGGGAAAAGGATAAGTTCTTTACGTTGAAAAAGAGACAACTCCCTCTCTCCTCCTGCAAGATTCAACATGAATTATAAATTTAGGAAGATTTTGCTAAACTCCACTCTTTATAGCAAATTAGTTTGTATTTCATCATGAGTGCAGGATAAACTGTGACCCAATTTACACTGATTGCTTAGGTTGACTTGAGTATGGATCAGCCTGCTGATAGCTACAAAACACATGCAGTTCTCTTCAAATTGTCTTATGCTTTTTTCTTGCCCCCCTCCCCTTCCCCTCAGTCTTACAAAAAAAAAATCTGCTCTCATTTTTACATGGTAGGCCATCATAGTGTATGCAAGAGAGGAAGTGGCAGAGAACTCCAGTGCAGTCACATTTGACTTCTCAAGTGACAGAGAGCTCCAGCACTGCCACACTTGACTTCTCAAGAGGAAACTGGCAAAAAGGAAATTGAAAGGAGAGTCAAGGGGCTGAAATATCACCAAAATGCTTCGAGATTACTCAAAACTACAAGCAGAGGGTCAGCTAGAATGAATAGCAGAGATCAGGAAAGGAAAAACAAAGCTTAGGATATCATCTAACATGG